ATCTGAAGAGCTTCAGTACATGTTTCCTGGATAAACTGTTGGAAACTCTCCAGTGTTGTCGTCGCGAGTCTGGCATAGTGGTGAATCAGCCCAATTGCGTTGGATATTGTAAATGTTATTGCAATGTCTTCCTCGCTGGTTGCTAATACCCTAGTTTAAAACTTACATAGAGTTAGGGTGTCTACTCATGCGTATCATAAAGGAACAGAGTGTTTCCCTCAAGATCGACGTCTTCAGATTAAACTGAGTGAAGCCGGGTGTGAAGACGTAAACACTGCCCCCTTTCGGATGAGAAGATAAATATTTTTTTATGTCGTTGTTAACCACACAAGCGTCAAGGCAAACCCGCCCGACTCCTACTTTAAGGGGGAAAAAAAGGCGTTTCTTTCCAAAAATGGAGATAGTTCATAGCCTATCAACGGTGATCCTTGCTTACGATATGAGAAGGAAGACGACCGCCAACATTGGAAGTGCACTAAATCGATGTTGCTGATGGACGAATTTGAATATACGAATCGGTGAATTTGAACGAAACATGTTTTAAAATAGCTGGGAAAACAATATGTGACCTGTTTTGTCCAAACCAGACTTTTCTGGGCATAAGCTCAAATATGAGATTTTGGCATATTGTTAAAGTATGTACATTTTCCTTTTAATAGGTGGTTTAATTTTGAAACCAGTGATTCCTGGGCAAAGTTATGCTATTTTGAAGTTGATTGTGTCGAAAAGTAAAAAACGGAGAAAATGGCAGTTACAGTTTTGGGTCTATTTTAAGACCTGTTTCAAGTGACATTTCTTTAACTGATAAACCTTAACAAATCATCAAAAATACTATATTTAGAGTTCAAATTAGGGTTTCAAACTTTTATAGTATACATGTATTTTAGACATGTTCAAGATTACAAATATGCAAAAATTAGAAAATCGAAAAAAATTACACCCAAAGCATTTTTTTTGGCCATATCTCAATTTCAACCTCTGCCCCAGAAGCGTCTGCTTTTGTTTTGACAGAACAGGTGGATGGCAACTCGCAAGTTCATGCGCCTACGTAAACGTTCCGTACGTGGTACTGCACCCGTATGATGTAAGTACGTGGTACGTAGTACGCCCGGCCCGGGCCGTACGGGCACCTGTACGTATTGTGCATATTTAATTAAATAACGCATGCGCAGTATACTGGGTAAAACGACAGTTACGGCGCTGCACACAAAGCTTTTTGTGCTACAGGGAATAGAGTGTGGCATGCAAAAAGGACGACCTAGAAATTTTCATTTTGAAGCATACTTACCTGGCTCAGGAGATACCGTGATCAAGCAGGCGGTTCTCCCATTGCGAGGCCTTACCATTGCACTTCGGTGGGCTGACTGATGCGATTCCCCCAAACGTGGGGAACTCGGGAGTACAATTTCTGATAGTGGGGACTGCGTTCGCGCTCTCCCCGTGCAATAAACTAAAGATAGAAGTAGTGGTTGAAGATGTAGTGCCAATAAAGGCTCCTTTTATTATCATAAACAATGTTAGTTCGGGTGTTTGTTTGGTTGTTTGTTTGTATTTACTTGGGGGGGGGGGGTGATTGGTCTTTTGGGTGGGTTTGTTTGTTGGTATGTTTTTGTATGTTTGTTTGGTGGGGGTGGGCGTTGGGGTGTTTGTATGGTTGTTTTCACTATTATTTACTGTTAGATGTTTATTAATATATTCATTCTTAAGTAGCCCATTTTTACCTGAACTATAACAAATCATTTTATTATGTTTACTCATTTACAGTTTACATATCAATTTAAAACACAATGCAGTGTTTTGTTTAATACATAGTTTTATTCATTAAAGGACTTTTATTGTTTTATTTCTTTATAGTTTTACGTAGTTATAATTTATTAACATCATTTTAGTGTGTCATATTTAATCAGTTGGAGAGCCCCTCGACAGAAACCATGTTTCTTTTGGGTAATCCAGCGGGAGCTGGTTAAATATTATATTGTGTATGTTTTGTCTAAAATGTTCTTGTGTATATCTGAGTATTTAATGTTATTGTTTGTAATTATTGTAACAAATGTATCCCGAAAAATGAAATAAATGTAAATGTAACTACAGAAGCTTCTCAAATACATACGTGTTCTGACATATACGACTTTGATTAACATATTTTCATGACATGCTGAAGGACTTTATACAGAAAACATTTCGCATTTTACTCCGAATTAGGCATATAATTGCAGTGTTTCATTTTAAGTAAGTTCAGCCATTTCAATCCTTAATTCATTTGCAGTCACTGAAATTGCTCCGAGATATTTTCCGGGTGTTAAACAAGTGCAAGCGCACAATAAGCTCTGGCCCTCTTGCACCAATCGGCACAAGTGATTTTAACGTGTAACAGATCAGCCTTAACGTTGACCGGAGATTGTGCGCACTAGCCCGAGGCTGTCCAATGCGAAAATCATGCTGCGCTATATACCGCGTGACTATAACATTACTGCACATATTTGCCTCCATTTACAAAAATTTTATATACAACTTTTGAAATTCTTACAAGCAATAGATTTATTTTGTTTGCTTCTTTTTTCGACAATTTTAATTTGGTAGTTATATTTTATGGGAAACTTAGGGGCTGGTTTTTGGTAAAAACTTTCTGCAAGAGTCTATTCATATAACAAAACAAAAACACCCTACTCTGGCTATACAACAGTAAGGCCCTCTGGTAAACAACTCCTTGTATGGATTTGCGCATACTGCGTGATATGGCAGAGGTACTGGTGTAGTGAATTTAGGACTGAAAAATACTTCTGACTCACTCATAGTATTGCGCATAGCTACGTGAGGATTGTGAACGTTCAACCAATAAAACGGTGCTGGCACCGGATTTCACAAGAGTCCAAATTTCATGTGACACTGGAAAAGTGTTTTAAGACCAGCCAGCCATGTCTTCATTAACCGTTTAAGACTGGCCACGTGGCAGGCTCCAGACCAATAGGAATGGGTAAACTGTTTTGGGTATTTATGAAAAGAAATCGAAATATCTGACATAAACTCAAAAAATAACTGAAATAAACTAAGCTTGCACTGAAATCTAAAATATATTTACAAATTAACAGCATATCATTCCTAAATCAATGTAAATTCCCTTTGAATTTGAATGTGTTCAAACTCAAGACCTTAAAAATTAATAAATTATTCAGCAAAATAAATCAAACACGACAATGACATACATGTAAATGTACACCAAACGCCACACATTTCATATGTAATTGGCATAATGTTACTTCTAAGCGAATAAATCCTTTGCATTATAGCCTTCTAGCTGTGGATACATATGCATTTGTTGTTACTGAATTAGCCCTAATTCCCAGGCACTTTTTGCTAGGAACCATCCTCAATCAGCAAAAATCCTCAAAAATTGTGCACTTATATTCAAATGAAGGATACCCAGTGCCTCAATCCTTCAAAATGGTCAGACAGACTTGCCTCTCAAAATGCATTCATCCTCAATCCGCCAAAATCCTCCTCCTCTTCAAACACCATTCATCCTCAATCCTCCAAAATCCGCCAGGATTTTGGAGGATTGAGGTGGGTTAATATAACCAGAGAGAAAAAAAAAATCCAAAATATGGCTGCTGAATACTAAGGATACTCAAAAAAGTTTCAACATCTTTGTATACACATCTATAGTATAAAATGCTATGTACAACTCATCACTACACATACATTTTGCCATATCAGATTAACTCTTTCAGTGCCAAAGTCGTACATGTACGAGGTATATATTTGAAAAAAAGTAAGACTGCTGCAAACTGCTTACTGACTGGATGGACCTGAAATATATAAATCTAAAAATTAATGTGGCCTGACGTTGCGAACTTAGAAAGTTCTTCTTCAGAGGCTAAAACTGTTTTAGCCTCTGAAGAAGAACTTGCTAAGTTCGCAACGTCAGGCCACATTAATTTTTAGAGGTATATATTTGTTAGTTCAAAATTGCCAACCTCGTACATGTACGAGGTAATGTTCATACTTAAAATTGCCAAACCTCGTACATGTACGAGGTAGAGTAAGCATGTTATCACAAGGGGGCGCTCTCGCTCTTTCTACCAATATCATTTTCATTCAGGTACGACCTGTATTTTTTTGTTTCATTCGAGTTCTTGCGAGAGGGTGCAGCACTGACACTCTTATTTTCTGCAAAAAGTGCGGAATTCCCCTGTGTGCAGGACAGTGTTTCAGGGTGTATCACTATGTACGTGACTACTTTTGACTTTCCAATATACCAAGGATATACCGGAGAGCAACAACAACAAATTTAGTGAGTAAAACTTATTACCTTTTTTTTTTTTTACAGAATTTTGAACACTTAAAAAAAACGCTCGAAGTTTGGCACTTTAGGGTTAAACTTTTCAAGTTTCGCGGGCACTGAAAGAGTTAAGAACTTAAGAAATAACTTTATAAGCTATCTTGGTGACCTGACAAAAGTCGTGATCGAATTCTTCAATGCGCACTGTTGATTGACAAGCAGGAGACAACTGCAGGACTTGATCTCTGATTCTCAGATTAAATTCTTACGTCCAGCTTCGGTCCAAAATTGGGCCACCAGTATCAAATGATCGAAAGGAGCAATTACCCATAGCGATTTTTGGCAAGGTATGCACATCTAGAGTTGGAAAATGTGTGATAGCTGTGCAGTGTGAGCGGTGGCAGTTTTTTTGGTGTTATCACTTATATTTTTTTTCTCAATAAGGCAGCCAATATGTTCGTTACCGGATTAATTATATGTGGTAACAAGCATGTTAAAGTTTTGGCCGCCACTTTTCTTTAAAAAGTGATAGCACCCACAAAGCTGTCACCGCTGCAATGCTATCACATATTTTCCAAATACAGGGGTGCATACCTTGCCAAAAATCACAATAAGCATCATTCCCCTCATTTGATACCGACCAAACTCCCAGGCTGATGGCCTGTAAAGCTGAAATGGGAAAATCATGGAATAAATATCCACCAAATAATCTAAAGTTTCATCATTTTTGAGGGCATCTTCTCTTTCAGCGTTTTCTCTTGATCTTGGGCGTCTGTTTCACTCCAGGCGATGTCTGAGTGCACGATGTCGCCGTGACCACGGGCGTCTTTCTTTTTCTCCTTGTGAAAACTTCACCGGAGATCTGTGGGGTTGTGCTGCTGGTGCTTTCTGATCCTAAATAGCAATGAGTTTATGGACATTGTGTAAAATGAAATTTAAAACATGTTTCTCTTGAAAATTAAAAAAAAAACTTTAGAAAATGGTTCTTTTGAAAAATGAAATAAACTTTAAAAAAATGGTTCTTTTGAATAAAATTATACAAAATAAAAAAAAAGGCTTCTTTTGAAAAAAAAAAAAAAAAAAAAAAAATCTTTTGAAAAATATAAAAACATTTTTTGAAAAGAAGTTCAAATTGTATTATTTTTTTTGGGAATAATTATTTGTTTGGGAAGAGAGAGAATTAAGAACTTTAAAGGCGACCGGATGGTTGCATTCAAGTCAAAGATTTCATGAGTGATTTCTTGTTACAAAGTCTAATCAGGCTTACAGTTCACGTGAACGAATAAGTTATTTTACTGAAAAATGAAGGTGGAAAACAACAGGCTTCATTTACATACCTTTGGACCTTTCCAGCTGTTTCTTTGTCAAAGCTGGTTTCGGTCTAACAGCCGAACTTCCGATGACCCCAGGCGCTGACCTTGCCTTCGGCGACCTGACCGGTGACCTCAAGGGTGACTTGGCCACAGGTCTCTTGGTCGCTGCAACAGCTTTGGGTTTGGGCGCGCTCGCCGCTTTCCGTTGTCGTCCCTTGACTGGGGGTGCGACTGCGGTTTCAGAGTCCGAGGTACTCTCTGTGCTGCTCGACACAATCCGCCTACCGGTCCTGCCCACTTTGGCGGCTTTCTTCGGTAACTCGCTGGCCCCGCCCACAGCCTTACGCTTCTTTGCCTTGGTGTCACTTGAGCTGTCACTCGTTGATGCTGAAGGCGGGGTGAAGTCTAGTTTCCCGTCTGCTTTAAAGCCAGCAGCAGCGATGGCCTTTGTGAAGAGTCCCTTTAAATGCTTGTAGTCTGGCACCTCCTCGTATTTCAGCTTGCTCACATACTCCATATACTTCTGAAGCGCAACTGTTAGTAAACGTGAACACACAGAAGACAAACTTTCAATATTCAAGACATGAATACATTCAAAAGCACAATTTTTTCTGAACTGCACAGGTGTCATTTATTGTGAAAAAAATCTTCACAAGAGTGATTGAAAGAGGGAGATAATAATGTGATGAGAAAGTTTTAAAAATGTGGCGTAAAAGTGACTAGGGACCTTTTAATTTCCAATTACCTGGATGGTTTCCAGCAGGAAAGCATACCTTCATCAACGAACCAATGTTTGACATATACCTATGGGGAGAAAAATTAAACTATAGTTCATTTGTTTTCAAATCAGATTGTTAAACTTGTATCTTCATTGAGTGATAGCCATTTGCTATTTCTCAGGTTTGCAACATTGCTAATGTTGCTGGCACAATGACTTTGGGTGTGATCATAAAGGATTATGGCTTCTTATATGTTTCCTTGAAGAAAGATATATGGTAGTTCAGTTGGTAGAGCACTGGAACAGAAATCAGGACGTTGCAAGTTCGAACCTGCTCCAGTGAATTTCTTTTTTCAAATTTATAATCAATATAAAAAGAACCATCCATGACTGGCGAAGTGCCGTGGCCTCGTGGTCTGGATGGAACATTGAATTCACAGTCTTTTGGTAATTCTGCAGGTTATGGGTTTGAGTCCAGCCTGGGGTTATGGTGCATGTGCCCTTGGGCAAGGCACTTTGTCACTCATTGCTTCTCCCCACCCAGGAGTAAATGGGTACCTGTGAGGGCAGAGATGGTTATTGTGATTGATTTTAGCTGCTTTGCGCCAAAATGGCAGCACTGAGCTGTATACCCCCAGGGAGCTGAGATTGTCTTTGGAATGTTTAATTGGCCCAATGAGCAGGGTAATAATGATGTAGCGCCTTGAGCACCAATACTGGTGGATACGTGCACTTTAATGTAAGTACACACTATTATAAAGTCTTAGAAATCTGTAACGTCCCTTCAAAACTTTCAGACATCATAGTTAAAGACATCATATTACGAGGACAACACTGAACAGGTACAATTTTAATTATTACATAATTTCAAACTTACTGTTTCTTTTGATTCATGACATAGGGGAAATCGGTGTAGGATTCTGATATCTTGTGTTCCCATGGTAATGACCCTGCCAGCCACTGTAGGATGACATAGCCGAGGATCTCCAAATCGCCTCGTCTAGATGGAACTTGAAAACAGAGAGGAATTCAGCAAAAGGAGAACAGTCGCAGGAAACTTGAGTTTGTCTTTGATGATGTTATGATTTTTCCGAAGGTTTCCTGAAGGAATGACTTTCATTTTTATTTTAGACAAGAACATTCCCAAGGAAATTTTATATCTGAAACAATTAAGCATGCACTACAAAAAAAAACAGGACACTGGGTTGTATGTACAGGGTGAGTCAAAAAAGCGGAACCCAAACCCCCAAAATTATATTTCATATTAAAAAAATAGGTAGCACCAAAAATTTTAATGACTGGAAAGCCAATTTCATAAGCTACTTTTAGATGAAAAAATTACTGAAATTGCTCAATCCGTTCGAAGAATATCACCATTTAAACACAATGACCCTAAAACCTGTCTCGTCCAAAAATGTGATTTAAAGAATCGTCGTCACAGTTGTCTTCAAGCATCACCAGCGATAAAACCTCAGTTTAAAAGTTAAAATATTCAACAAAGTCCTTTTGAAGGCCCGTCTATTAAAAAAAGTGGATTTTATCAATCATATTGTTTGGCTAACCAGGGTTATTAATAAAGATATTATGTACTACAGTTCTTGACAGTTGATGAAACAAGTATTCTGTGTCATTTTCTTTGTTGTTCCAAACAGTCAAAACACACAATAAATTGCTGTTTTTGGACGAGACAGGTTTTAGGGTCATTGCGTTTAATGGTGATATTCTTTGAACGGATTGAGCAATTTCGGTATTTTTTTCATCTAAAAGTAGCTTATGAAAAATATATTTTGGAGGGTTTGGGTTCCGCTTTTTTGACTCACCCTGTATAATTGAAAAACTAGCAAGGCTAGGAAGTTAAAGCGAACAGCAATTTTACTTCGGAGCAAAAGCATTGGGGAAAAGTAAATATTTGAATTTGTATGAATAAAATGTTTCTTTTACTGTTTAGCATTTGCTGATGAAATGACATAAAATACTTCGAATGGTTTATAATGATAGGGTCTCCATTGTGTGTACATATAAGACGTATACACACAGAGCAGCTGTAAACTAACAGGGTAGTTTAATGAAATGATCCTCAAGTTGCTAATCTGCGGTCAGTGCTCCCCAGAATGTTCCAAAAAATGGTCGGCCATCTATTTTCTTGAAAAAATGACTAGTAAATGCTCCCAATCTGAAGCATTTACTCCCCTTTATATAAAATGTGGCAATGGTATCCAACAACCTTTAAATTTATGCAATCTGACATGAAGTCATTTGTGTTATCAGGTCTGCCATCTACTTACCAACTCCATTGTGGGCATCTCTGCTGGTGAATTCCGGCGTTCCGTCGTGAGCTTTCTTGGGATCCTCTTTATACTCCCGGTGTTGTCCGTTGGGGCAGAACCTGACGGCAAGGCCGTAGTCCACCAAGTAGACCTGCTCACAGAATAACAGGCAAAACTCAAGCAAGCTTCCACAAATATTTAGTCATGCAACTGGGAATTTAGAAAAAAAACGAGGAAACTCCAAACCACACAAGACTTTGTACAGTGTTATTCATGAGACGCAAAAAAAAGAGGAAATCACCACATCCAATGAAAAATTACCTGCTGGTGCTTTACTAGTTGGATCAGATTTACTCCTGGGTGGGGAAAAGCAATTAGCAAAAAGTGCCTTACCGAAGGACCTATGCACCACAGCTAAACATGCTGGACACAAACCCACAATTACCTGCACCATTACGGACAAGATCTTGAGTTCATTCCAGCATCGTTTGAAAGTGAAAATGATCCACTTTTCTTGAAAATGACAGCACACCAGGTGCCATGATTTCACAGGATGCATGAGACTATTAATCACTTACAGTCAAGTAAGGTATTTCATAATAATTTGGTAGTTTTGTTTTTGATGTTTACAAATGTTGTATATTACCATTAACCTTGGTATCAACTTTGCGACTTGTAAGCAAGACTCACAGTTCAAGACCTGGGATTAAACACCAGGGACTTAGACACAAGACTTGGACTTGAGTATTAAGATCTGATCAGACAATTCAGTGTCATTGATCATCACATTTGTACCTCTACTAGGGGTGTGCATTTACGGGTAGTACAGAAACTGGGTACCCGATACAAAAAACCAACAAACACTTCAAATCTCGGAAGTTGCTGTTCAGATTTTTCATAAAGGTCCGCAAGATATATACATGTACTACCATGTCGGTGCATCAATACACCAAGATTCAAAGTGAGCTTTGTAGCTTTACGGTGTAAATTGCAATTTTTGAGCGTCAAAAACAAGAAATATGTTTTGTTTTCCAAAGTAGCCTGGTATTCATTTGAAAATTCCCCACAAATGACATTCAAAAACTTTCTTTGTCATTGTCTGAGATGTTACTATAAAGTTATTTGTAAAGTTGGTTTACGGGAACCCGATCCCATAATCTAGAACCGCTTCTTGACATTAACACTCGGGTACTCGGGTACCTGGTTCCGATGCACAGCCCTAATCTCTATCCAACATGCTAATCCCTAAATCCCACTGCACACCTGCCTAGAATGTCCAATTAGTTAACCGCACCTGGTTTTGTGACTTGGGCCCATACCCCAGTAGGATGTTGGCACTCTTGATGTCCGCATGGGCATATCCAGTACTGTGAAGATACTCCAGACTATCAAGCTGTGAAATAATTAGAAAAAAACCGAAAAAAAACCCAAAAAACACAGGAATTTAGATTTTAATACTAGCTTTTTCCCGTCACTGATGTAATTGGAAGCTTCCAAGTACAAAATGTTCATTATAAAAGAGATAGAATATGTCACAATAATAATATTCATTTGTTGGCACTTAAAAAAATGTACTTTATACCTAACAATCTAATGTTTGACTGGAACCTTCCTGAAGCTGTAAACGAATCCAACACTCATTGCTAAACCACTGTCACACTCAAAACATTCAAATAACATTGGGACATTAAACGCCATGTTAAGTTATGGTGGCTATTCTGCAGTCCCGTATTCATCAAAGTCAGGCACAAACCTGAGGTTAGATTTCGACAGATTTAGAAGGATTACAGAGAATATTCTACAAAAGTGGTTTACTGAGCACGTACTGGATTGTATGAAAGACCATTAGCGACTGAATCAAAGGGAAATTACGGCCTGGAATGCGCCCAATTGGGCTAGTACAAAACGCGTTTTAAACAAAATGATATTAAATGGACAGAGCATTTAAAAGTAGAATATAAACGTCCACACAACCATCCTTTTCAGAACTAGGCAATTTTATGCTCTGTGCTTGTGAGAACCATGCGAGAATGAATTTCGGGGGTCTCAATTTTGTCCCGAAAAATCAAGCTGTTCCAGTGCTGGTTGTGATTCCAGCCGTATAGTAGTCGTCTTCTCCAGAAGTATAAGAAACAACATTTGTGTATTGGTGCTGTGTGTAATTTGAATGTGTACATTGAATGAAAACGACAGGAAAAATGTATGCATACTCCGTCGTGTCCGATGTAAACAACCGTTTTTTCCCCGTCTTTTCTCAGGAATGGTAAGACTTTAGGTTAGTTTCTTTTCAACTAGACCTTTTAAAATAGTATAAATAAACAATCCAAAACATGACATTTTCAGGGATTTCAGACCGTAATGCCCCTTTAAAACAAAAAGTTAACCACAAGGTGTTAACTCAAAAAAGCCACAATGACTGAGACTGCTTCCAAATGACTTGGCTACGGCTTGCAACAACATGCGCACCTGTGAAGCAGCTGAAGCCACTTCTCATACACACGTGTGGAACTGCCGGCCTGGCCAGGTAATATGAATGCAACCTTATCCCTGAGATTCCTTGAGCAGTTCAGAAGTCATCTATTATGCCAATAACCCTGAATCTTACAATCTGTATGCCCAGAGTGAACGCCGTCTTGGCTGTGAACCGTTTGCTGCAGGCCAGGTATTTCTTCCAGATGTCTTCGCCGAATCTCTCCATGACCAGGAAGCGGAAGTCTGTCTTGCCTCTGTTGTGCATCCCGGTCCCCATGAACTTGGGCACGCCCAGATGGGTCAGTTTGCGTTTCCTCATCCAATCCTCAACTGCAGCACAAAACAAGACCAGGCAAGCCTAGTAAAGCTTGGCCCAATTGCATGGCTCTGCTTACCCTTAGCGAAAAATTGCTACTTACTGTAGCAGAAAATTCTGTGCTGACGGTAAGCGTATTTCATGGGTTAACAGGGAATTTTGGCTTCTGCGCATGCATACATTCCGTAACTAAGGGTTTTGTGCTTACATGGTTAGCGCAGAATTTTTCTGCTAGCGCAGTCAGCACAAAATGGTGATCATAAGCACGGAATTCTGTGGTTAGCAGTGCCATGAAATTGGGCCCTGGTCCCAGAGCGCACAAATGTTGATTCAATTGATTCAGAGTGGCTATTCGCTGGAAGTCTTTCCATGTATCTGGTCTACAATTTGGGACTGATTTAGCCCGTTTACTGGCGTTACGGGGTAATCCTATACAACAGCACTGCCCGGCTCTCTCCACCAGTCACCAACCATGCTAAGCCAGTCAGAAAGAGACAGTCAGTCAGTAAGCAAAATAGGTGCAAAGAGGACGCTAGGCTGGACCTCTGGAATCAGCAGAAGTACTGTGAGGGACTGTGTGTGTTCACCAGTCGCTCGTGCAAATGGTTGGTGAGATTTGTTTGTACCGGGGAACAAAGCACGACAATAGGGACTAAGGGAACTCAGCAAGGTGGTCTTCATAAATCTCAGTACCCAACAAGTAAAATGCTATGGAGTTTGAGATTTCAAGTTTGAGATCGAGTTTTTGCAAAGACTGCAAAGCACAAATATTTATACAGACAGTATTGAAAACCTATCACATATTGGAATCATATCAATCCGAGACGTACCCATTTCAGCCTTGGCACTTCTTTGGTAGAATGCCTGCTCCACAAACAGTGGTCCGTTGTCTTTGGGTTCCTACAAAATAATATCAAATTATATTCATAAATTATTTGTTTTTAATATTCATAGATTCTGGAAAAATTCAGAAACAAGAATACGGCAGGAAGTTGCTGAAAATTATCCAATGCTCCAACATTAGCCAAGGCAATCCTATCAAAGCTGGTTTCAGCGTGCACAAGATTCAATTCAAGTGATTCCGAATGGCTGCGCACTGGTCTTATCATGCATCTGGTCTACTTAATGGGCCGCATTGAGCCCATTTGATGGCATTATGGGGTCATTCTATACGCGTGGCTCACACGTTACAGTGCGTCAGTCAGTCAGCCAGTGAGTGAGTGAGATGGGTACAGAAAGGACACTAAACTGGCCCTTTAGCAAATTATAACTTTCATTGTTATACTTTGCTGCTCAATTACTAAATAGATCACTGGGGGTCTGCTCAACTTTTTAGGGTTTACCTGAAAAGAAACTAATGCCTGTCCTCCTTCAAACTGCTGTATGATTTTTCAAAGACTGCGGTACCTTTCATACAGTTGAACACTGTAAGTACAATGGATTAATCTTTCAAGGCTACTTTCAAAATTGTCTGCCAAACTTACAATTTTGATAACATACATTGCATCTGAACCAACTGGGCTGGACGTGGCTTCAGCAGCTGTGAAAGTGCAAAAGATTTTGCAAAAGATAAACAGAGTGAATGTTAATGTGAAGCAAAAATCAGGGCGGGGGAGGGGGTTTATTGTCCCCCCCCCCTCCAGCCGCAGCAAAAATAGCACATGCCTGCTAAGCTTGTACTGTTAATCTCCTGAATCCAACAGAAGACCGTCATCAATGGTTCAACATACCGAGGTAGAGTTCACCAAAGCCTCCTTTGCCGACTGTCGGTCCCAGCTTCCATTCCTTCTTGTTGAGGTCTTTCAGGACCTCCCCCTGAGGGATGGGGTCTGGCAGCTTGTAGGCCCTAGGTCCTCTCTTCTTAGGCGCCGCTAAAAATAACAAAGAAATTATACAGGGGAACTGACTAGATGCATTATCATTGTTTTAATGTTGAACAAAGAAATTGACAAAGAAATCGTAGCCTCTCCGAGTGATCCCCGTTTGCTATTTCCCAGGTTTGCAGCATTGCTATTGTTGCTAGCATCGTGACTTTGGGCGGGCATCCCCGGCTACATGGCATATACGGGTTTATGGCATAGGACTGGATACAGGCATGCAACTGGGAAATCACAAAAAAAAAGGAAAATTCAAATTTTTCCCAGACTTTGTACAGTGTTTTTCTATTTTCAATGGCACACATGGGAAGTAAAAAAAGAGGAAATCAGCTGATCCGAGGAAAAGTTGCATGCCTGTGGATAGCTCAGTTGGTAGAGCACAGGAACGGCAATCCGGCAGGTTCCAAACCCTGCTCCAGTCAATTTCTTTGTTCAACCTATCCCTAACAGTCCTGAATCCTCCAATTTTAATATGATTTTGCATACCCCCTAGGGAGTAAGGGTTACATAGCTTAAAAAAAATGACAATTGCATGCAGTTCAAGTTAGACGATGGTCAAATTGGACCAAAAAGTGCTCACAGAAGTGCAGAAAGTGAACTAAATGCCACACAGTCAGCTTAGAATGTCTTCGTAAACTTACAGTACAAAACAACTTTAGACTTATATGGTATATGTAGTGAATCGGATGTCCGACCCATTGTCATTAACCCCAACTCCCTTGCATAATTTACTAGGAACCATACCCATTCTGGCAAATTCCAACACCCACATGGGAAATTGTACACACACACTGTTGGACTTTTCTGGAGGTATTACCCAAACCCAGTGTAAAAGACCATCAGTTTAGGGGTACTGTACCTATCCCAACAGATTTCAACACAACCTGCTGTTGGGCTTTGATTGGTTGAGTTTGGTCAGGGTTAATACGACCAAATTAAACTAACGGTCCCAATTTATGCAGGGGTTGTCCTAAACTTAAGTGTTACAGCTGGGCCGGCCCAACTTCAGTTGTCCTGGACTCAAAGCATAGTTTTTACAGCAGAGTTCATAAAAATGTGTCTTTTAGCCGTTTCATCAGATCCATGTCGCAAATGCAACAAAAAGTACATATTTTGTGCAAGTTCATTTCTCTGACTCTTTGCTACACATGTGACCGCTGGCACTAAATAACGCAGTACATTAAAGCAGCATGATTCAGAAATACATGTGCCACAGGTGTACATGGAGTAGTAGGGTCTCAGTTGGGCTGGCCTAACTATAATGTTTTAGATAGGACATTCCCAGCTTCAATAAGGTGGGACCATCCCAACTTCTTCCTTCTCTACATAAACTTATGTATATCCGGTTTGTTAGTGTGACGTCACTTCCAGCACTTTTCTGCACGATTGGAACCGGAAGTTAACGCAGCTCGAGCGTTTGTAGCCAATGGGCGCTAGTAATCGGTGGTGCGCGCGCGTGTATGATTTTTTACTAATGAACCGGATACAGACTAGGGAAAGAGTGTTGCGACCTGACGCTACTTCAGCGGTTGTGTACAAAGTCTATGGAGAGTCTAGAAAATTTTCTAACTATTTCTTAACAAAATTAGAAAAGTTTCTGAGTCCCAGATTCATGTCTAATCATCATTTTTGCAATGACTGACCTTCATAGAGATGTTAGATGAAGAAAAAAGTGGCGTCAGGTTGCAACAATCTTTCCCAGACGAGCTGTTTGAGTTTGTGAAAAATATCATTTACACCCATGTACAGAGTCATTAGTGCTCAAGGCCTAGTACCTTTCTTGGGCACATCACTGCCAGCCTTCTGTTTTGCAGCTTGCCGAGGCATCATGAAGTTACACAGGTTGTATCTGTCATAAAAAAAGGACAATTCTGTTGTGATAACAAAAATGTCAACTGAAAGCTTAGACTCAGTTGAAACGTTTCCCACTGCTTAAAGGGAAAATACAACATTTGCAAACATCAAAAAATAAAACTACCAAATCATTTTGAAATACTGGACTGTTAGTGAATGACAGTGTAAAGCATCCTGTAAAATCATGGCACCTGGTATACTGTCATTTTCAAGAAAAGTGGTATTTTTGTATCAATTTCCAACGCTGATCGGCCGATCAGCGTTGGAAAAAACTGGCTTTTAATTGACCATCGCACTTGTTTGCAATCGATTACACACCTATGAACATGTACAAGCCAGCTAGACTGGTTCCCCGACCTTACAATTCCCCAATGTATGTAAACTGCTCTGTTTCTTCTTAAATGGAGTCAGGGAACCAGACTATATTTGCTATATATTTCCAACCCCCCAATTCCATCCATTTCTGAAAATTACAGCAAAAGCAAATGATGTATATTCCCTTTAAGATTTTATTTCGGCATCCCCACCTTTAATTGCCAGGAAAAGAAACAGTTCAAAAACTATCACCAACTTTCTGGGAAAACATCTGCCTAAATGCATGGTCAAAATATTTTAAGTTTTTTTAAAGTAAAAGTTTGTGCAATATAGAAATCCGTCCACAACTAGATGACGTCTTAATCATCGTAATCAAGTAAACGTCTTAAGACAGGTTGTGAGTTCATATGATAATAAACAAGACCGAGGGTTACTTTCTCAGAAAGGTATCTTCCTGAAGTTTTTATTCATGGGGTATCAAAATATAATCTGGTGATCGTCTAGTTTTGGGACCGGACCTTCTTTGCTTTTGGTCTTCGGAAATATCGACGGTGCTTATTTAAGATACAATTACAAATTTGTAGTTGTACAACTCAATTCCTCATTCGGAAAGAATATGTAGTATCAAGACACCACTTCAGCGGTTGGGTACAGACTACCGGAAAAAAGAGAGTTAAGATGGTCAAGAAAACATTAAAGTAGGCCCTAGTTTCTAGTAAGACTATTTTCTAACAAAAATGGAAATGTTTCTCACTCCCCGCAACCCTGACTCATGTCTTTTCAACATTTTTGCAATGACTGACCTGCATTGAGATGTTAATGAAGAAACAAGTGGTGTCAGATTGCAACAGTTTTTCCCCTCATTTATGCCATGGACTGTCAGTGTCATTCAACGTTTATCCTCGACCGTCCACATAATCTGCGCATGTAACACTTGCAATGCGCGCCCCTCGTCAAACGCAAATTGAAGGTGATCTGCGTAGAATTAAATAGGCCTGCGTAGCTTTATAAGTAACGGGTCGCGGTTAGGCTATAACGGGTTTAGGCCTACTTTAACACTAACTGGCCAACAATAACGTCCTTTACTAATACTTGTTCAATCTAAGTACAATCCTCTTACTGTCTATATTCAGAAATGTGAGAGAAAAGCAGAATTTTAAGATGAAAACACCCCTTACCACACTCCGAAAAGTCTGAAAAGACTGAAGTTTACAAACCCCGCGCGCGCTCGACTATCCTGGGTCATTTGAGGTCAAATCGGGGTGCACATGAGCGAATGAAATAGCGCCCTCATTTGCACTTACCACACACAAATGTAAACATGGCGTTTTCCACGTTCGAAGATTTTTGATGAATTTTTTTGGTCATTAATATTGCAGTAAAATACGCAATCTGTGACTCAGGACAGGATGTGATTCTAATTAGATGACTTAACTGAAGACATCTGAATGTATTTTTGATAATTTTTGCCGCACAGGGGCATGCTCTTCGACAGCTGTTTGAGTGCGAAGTCATCGTAAATGGCTTCTCAGGCTAGCGTAATTCACGGACCGACTAAGCCGGCGGCTACGGCGGAGGGGAGTGGTAGCGAGGACGGTATGTCGCCCAATGTATCGCCCTCCAAGAAGCACAAATTGCCTGGCAGACACGTCAATTTTCCTGAGGGGGATATTGTTTCAGTTAAAGTGGATCCTCCTAACCCATGGAGACATGGTAAGGATTCGGTGATTATGTCTCTTTAAGTTTAAGTTTAAATCGTCATTCGTCATGTTCGTCATGATGTGGCAATTTTTCTGCCATGTCTTCTGAATTGAAATAAACCGTTTTTGAATTGTAATCACAATGTTAATAATGTTTATAATTTTTCATCATACTTACAATAACGTGAGTGGTGGTCAGTAATTGCAAAAAGGTGTAAAAGTAATTCATTTCTTTGTGATAAGAGGATAAACTATTCCAGTTTCGTTAACAAACCTGATTTTTTTTTCAAAACTTCCCATGTTGGACATATTGTACTTTGTAAATTGTATTGGATGCCCTTACTATATGTCTGACTACATGTATTTCATTCTTTCCTTTAATTGTGATTTTAATGTTAATCGTTATAAATACTCCAAAATGGATGAACATGGGATTTAAATTGGAAATATAGCTCAGTCGTGTAGTAGATTGACAGATTTCAGTGGTGGATCTACAGGACAGGTGGTCGTCTAAATCTCCCTCTCGGGGCACAAAATAGGAAAATCATTTAGAAAAAAAACAGCCGATTCCTTTAAAATCCCCCCACTACATGCACTAGGCCGCTAGACCCCCCTAATGATCCAAATGGATCTGCCCCTAGACATGCTAGATTGCAGTTAGTGATCAGTGTCGTTTGTTTAACTCAGCAGTGTGTACGTTACAACTTCAAGATTTGTTGAAGTCATTGTCTTGAGGCAGAGAAAATGTTGAAGCCTCAGTTTTACTTTACAACAATGGCAGATACATACATGTACAATGTACATACATGTATGTATATGACGAAATTAGAAAAATATTTCCACTGTTCCCTTGGATCTTGGAATTAGCATACTAAATACTTAGCAGAATAGGGTCATTTTCTTTCTCCATTTCTTAAATTATATTTCCACTTCAAGTCTTCATTCACAGAGAGAAAAATAAATAAGGTAAAACATAAATTTAGTAAGCGCAAAAGGACAAGAAGTCTTAACTTGGAGGTGTGGCTGGGAGTGGTCAACTAAATTTTTTATCAAAGCAGATTCGGAGGATGAAGTAGTTTTGGAAAGAATGTTGCAACCTGGCGCGCTTTTTCTTTATATTGATCACTCAGTAAAGGTCAGTCATTGCAAAAATGACAATAAGACGTGAATCTGGGACTGAGAAACATCCATTTTGTTAGGAAATACTAAAAAAATGTCTTGACTCTCCATAGACTTTGTACACAACCACTGAAGTGGCCTCTGGATAATACATTCTTTCCTAGTTTTTTGTAGGCTACTCTTCTGCACTTTTTACCACTGTGTGCAGAATTCTTGCGTTACAGTTTTTTTCTTCAAAGTTTATTTTAAAAATAATTTCCTTTCTTCTTTTCTTTTACTTTCTCTCAGCAAAAGGTACAAGCACAGAGGAACTTCAGGCCGTGTATCAGGCAGCATGCTACACAATGAAAGTCAAACCAAACAACAAAGTTGTGCAACAGTTACAGGTATGCCCGAGTCCGAAACATTTGGAGTTCTCAGTGCACTGGGTGTATTGAGAGTCCAGCAATTGTATAGGTACAGGCCCTATTCCCCTATTACTATTAGAGAACAAAAATCCACTTTTACCCGGTAGGTTATGAGACTCACCCAGGTAGTTAAGTGAGGTTTAAAAACATCAGGATTGCAGTGGATAGAGTGCAGCGTTTGGATTTTTTGATGGAAAATTCGGGGTTAAATGACAATGAAAACGACAAAATGTTTTGTTTGGTGATACATATTCTTAAACCTTTAGCGAATCTCCATTTTCCCCCTTCTTTGTAGATTAGAGCATTGTAGAAATTGTTAGTTCATTTGACTAAATGAAAACCATGGGCCACATGAAAAGAAAATAATAGGTTTACCCTCCTCAAATATCACACAAATGGGAAAATCATACACGTTTATGATTCAAACTGTATACCAGACCTTGGAAATTGGTCAGATTTACTCAGTGATATACGTACACATGCAATACCTTAAGATAATCTGTAGGTCTACAGTTTATCAGATAAAATGGGAAAATAAAGGTATCATATTGAATTGTGTACACCTCTGATCTCTGAATCTTTAGTTTCAGTACTCTCATTTTACATTGCTACATGTAACATGATCTTGGATGTCTCATTCATTTATTATCTGCATGGTGTCCTTGACCATAAATACACTGTATGCCATACTTTGACCAAGTTTTTTCTTCGGATTTTATGACTGTCATAAATCGCTTGTTCACACTTTTAAACACTAAGGAATTGGGTGTGCAAGGTGCTCACATTTTTTGACGACATTAGCTACCGTAACATTAAGTTGGTTAAAGCAAGGCATTTGCACATATGTGGAGTGCATTCACTGATATCAACAAGATTATTTTCCTGGGGTGTGATACAAATTACTACAATGTATGTCATTTTTAGTAAGGGAATAAAGATGTGATTGGCAGGTTTTAAAAAGTTCATTTTAAGACCGGTTTGGGGAATGGACGAGTCGAAGACCTGTGAGGGACATTATCGGCGACCAGGCCCCAAACCGGTCTAAAACAGACTTGTTTAATACCGGCCAAGCACAAAGTGACATTCTCATTCATGAACACATTTTAAGTCAAAAAGTCAAAACAAGTCAAAATTATAAATTTCCAACGATTTTGTTCAACAACTTTACTTCATGATTTTGAAACACCCCTCTTAGCTATATTATGGTATGTGCCTCTCACGAGTAGTGGTAAACAACTCCTTATATGGAGCTTGGCGCGAGAGTGGCACGTACTGCGCGATGTGACGCAGAACGCAGCGGTGCCAGTGTAGTGTGAGTTTAGGACTCAAGTAATACGGACTCATTGGTAGTATTGTGCATATTGTGTACGAGGGGTAAGTGAAGATTGTAAATGTTCAGCCAATAAAAAAGGTAAAAGGGACCAGACTTCAAAGGAGTCCAAATTCGTGTGACACCGAAAAAGTGTTTAAGACTAGCCAGCCGGTTTATCAGCCGTTTAAGATCGACCACATGACGGGCTCTTGACCAATAAGAATGAGTAAACCACCTTACCGGTAGTTAGTTATGAATAAGATTTAATTTACGGTTTCGCCACGTAACAATCTTATTAGTGAGTTTGTGGTGCAACCGTCAACTGAATCTAATTGCTATTTTCACCATGCAAATGTTCAAATCTTATTTTAGTTTTGACTGGAAAAATTGCTACCAAGTAATAAGGTAAAGTCATGCAGTAATCAAACCTTCCAGCGTACATGTACCGTACCAGTGTAGCCATAACCCTTTACATGTACGTCTGGGTTTTTCTTCTTCTTCTGAGTGACATTAGCGGCCACGGACAGGTCATATGATCATACCCATGGCCCAAAAGAGGGCACTTTGGCCGATTAATCAGCCTCATCACTCTAGATTAGCACTTGGGCTGAATCAATAGTCCCCGAGCGCTGCGCCTGTTAAAAAACAAACTGTAGTGCAGCGTATAGGGCCTAATGAAGTCATTGAATGAAGCCATTTTTATATTATAAATACATTAGTTGTCAGTGCACACAGTAAATCCCTCTGCCCTGTGGAAAACCAAAATATCCAGTACACAACAGGGTGTCCCAAAAAAGTTGTGCAAGAATATCCTTTAATTTCTAAAAACTACTTAACATGAGTAATTCATCTTGATGGAGCATATAATTACCAGTATCCCTTGTGTATATTCAGTCCAAATGCCATGGAAATCCGTTCATGCAAACCGGAAATCTCAAACAGATCGAAACAGATTATAAAAGGCTACTGTATGTTTTTTATCACCCATTCCAATGGGATGGGATTTTCAAATTTATGTACATCAGAGTAAAAAGGCCCACAGTGACAGTCTTCATGATCTGACATTTTGTCTGATGCACTGATATCACTAATTGTGTAAATCCCATTGGAATGGGTAAAAAAAAAACATAGCCTGTTATCGGTAGATCTCTGGTTTGCAGGAACAGATTTCCATGGCATTGTCACTGAATATACATGTACATGTACATGTACACAAGAGTGTTAATGCTCCATCAAGATGAAATAATAATGTTAAATAGTTGTTGAGAAATTAACTTACATGTAGGATCAGCTTGCACAACTATTTTTGGAACACCATGTGATGTCTACATAATGTACTCTGTACATTTTATACACATAATTATGTTTCTGTGCGGATATTCCAGCATGTGTATAAAAGTACATACATCGAAGAACATGAAATGTACGGTACATGTACTGACGTAGAGCTTTATTTAGCCATACCGGAATGCCGTAAACCAGGCTATCATACCGGTACCAGCATATTGTACTTTAAAGACCATTTTATCATAATTACATGACAGGGCACTCTTGCTAAATGTTTCAGATGCATCCTTGCTATTATGTAGTGTGTACACACATTTGATTTTTAACATCTCTAGATAAAGGGGGGGGGGGGACATGTAAATTATAAAAATACATGTACACACATGTAGTGTCACTACATGTACATGTACATGTATGTATGTTAGCTATTAGCCTGTGGTCTGTTGCATACATCCAGTTACCAGTACCTGGGATTTTTTTCTGGCTTTGTAGTTGTTTATAGGCCTAATTAAAATGCAGACTGATGAAAAAATGCCAAATTAAATCCACTTCTGCTAAAATGCTAATTCAGGATTTACATACACACCTGTACTAGGTTTTTGCAGTTACTTGAAAGACACCTGCTGTACACCACACACACTAACACCAATTACATTTCAGATAAAAACATGTCATCAAATTTGGATTAACTTGTAGTGCACTGCAGTTCCTAAATTTATACAATGACCTCAAGCATGTCAATTTGATTAACATGTTTAATGGACACCCCACTTTAAATCTAGACCGTCTTTTGTTGTTGTCATTTATAAAAACAAAAACACCCTAGAATTGCTTAGCAGAAATTATACTACTGAGCATATCGTATTTACATGCCAAAAATAAAAAATCAGCATGTATTATGAGAACCTGTCCTTAGCAGGATACAGTGCACAAGATGATTGGCTTAAGTAAGTTTTTGCAAGAAGCAAATTCTCAGCTTCATTTCTGCTTCTAACATTTGTCTAATGCAGCTGTACAAAATTGGACCTGGTCAAGGATCTTGGTTCCTGAATATGCACCACTGCAAGGACATAGAACTGTACACATTGCTCACTGCAGCCTGTGCCAAAATAACAAAATGGAGCAACGCCTAGAGACAGGATCTTATCATTACTCAGGTTCTTGAAATCCCTTATCTATGGAACGCCACGGGCCTTTCAGTTTCACTGATTCCTGTCCAGTCTTGCTTTTTCCGAGCTCCTCATCAATGCTTAGAGCCTCTCAATGCAACCACAATGGGAAATGTGTACCCCCCTATATTTACCCGTGCTTTATGTATAAGTACATGTAATTTAAATGGAGCTTTCCCTGTAATTAAAAAACCAGTCTCGATTACACTAATCCCCCTTTTAGTATCTGAACTATATTTGGAGCATGCAGGTTGTTTGTAGAGGAATTCTTGTCCCAGAAGAACTCTGGCATCTCTGATGAGGTCTGATAATTGCCAATTAACTGCAAGATCCCAGTGGATAACTGTACATGTTTACTTGTCTGGGCTTGATATGATTGTACAAAGAATTGTAAATTATATGTGATGTAGTTGATTGTTAAAAACTACGACTTGAAATATCATAAGAAAAAATCAAATAATAAAATGAAATATCAAGCAATAATTTGCATAAGAAAAATTGAATAATATAATTAAGTGTCAAACAATAATTTGCTATAAAAAAATAAAATAATTAAGTGTCAAACACTCATTTGCGTAAGAAAAATACAATAATATAATTAAGTGTCAAACAATAATTTGCATATATGAAAAATTAATAGTTTGCATACAAATCTTTACAAAAATTGTGTGTTCACACTAACCCGACTTACCTGGATTTTTGTGGCCAAATTGCTGACCTCAAACTTTTTATTGCCACATTTGGCCAAAAATGTTAAAGAATGTAGGCCTACTAGTAAAACAAACAGTCTTCCATATATGCATCATTCCTGTGTACATGTGTTATTGGTTAATTTAACATAAAACATGTTCATAAAACAGAAAGCCATTGAAGGTATCCTAAAGTAAACAAATAAAGTATAAAGACTGACAGACACGGCAGACGAACACAAACAAAGTTACAAGGTAAAGTTATTTTCCTACCTACATGTACACGTACCTTACCTTGATAATTATTCAGATATAACGGTCAAATACCTTTTTTCTTCGGCTTGACACTTCTGAGAATGATTCTCTCTTCCTTCAACTTAGCTTTACATTTATGCAGTTGGGACCTTTCACGTTGACATGTTCATTAAGTCAAGTGGTTGAGCTCCCATTTACAAAATTGGAAGGATAAAAATATTCTTGATTCTTTGAGTTTTGGGACTTTTTTTGTGGAACACTTCCTTT